CAGTCAGACCTCGCATAACCGCACACATCCGTTTTCCATAAAAAATATCCGGATAGGCGAGGGAACCGGATAACCGAGCACACATACTGGATATGCATGTGGCATGTCAAAAGCAGTGGCATCGTACATACATGTAGACGGGTCCTATGCAGTACAACTAGCGTGCACAGTATGTAAAACAAGCGAGAAAAATGACAAGTGCATGCAACTGAGTGCTATCCGCATGCATGTGGCATGTCAAGGACCTCATTTGCTTGTACAACTCCCTGATTCTTGCTTCTGCAAGCCATGTGCAACCGGATACGACGAAGCTTTTTTGTACACATTTAAACCAGTTTGTACACAAAATCATGCACCAGTATGCGGATTGGGAGGTCCGGTTATGTTGTATGCATAACATATGCTGCACATCGGTAACCAGCGATTTTCTTCCGGATGGCGAGGGATCCAGATAAACGAGGACCGGATAAGCGAGGTCTGACTGACTGTACTGTATAAGAATGCAAGTGTACTAAGGTTGCACATGGAGCCCTGCACCACCTAGTCGCTGTTCTTGTGTGCACCTCACTGCTGCTCGAAGGTGAACGGAGTACGGGTTGACTTTACAGCATTTAATGTGTGAACAATGTACATATTGTATGGCCAATAGTCCTGACATGTTCTTCCGTCCCACCGCCAGACACGACCCTTGTGGAGTCCAGGTTGTGGGACGCTCTTGCAATGCTGTACGGTGCATGCAGGTGATATTGCAATGCACGTGTATCATCGGTGTTAACTAGGGAGTAGTAAAAATACACATGTATTTTACTACTCTCTGGTGTTGACTATATGCTTGTGGTATGTTCCTTGCACCGTGGTGTGCGCGCGCGCGCGTGTGTGTTTGTGTGTGCGTGCGTGCATGTGCAGTATGGAGGAGCAGCGTCGTCAAGCTATGCAGGAGTCCAAGTTCTTGGGTGGTGACATGGAGCATACTCATTTGGTGAAGGGATTGGATTATGCCCTGCTGCAAAAGGTAAGTGTGTGTTAACCAGACATTATGCCCTGCTGCAAAAGGTAAGTGTGTGTGTTAACCAGACCAGTCTGTGCTGGAGATACATTTAGTTCTGATTTTTGTTGCTCTCTCATTTGGTAATTGTTTGGTCTGCATTGTGCTAGGGAGCTAATGGCCAGGGATGGTTGTGTGTGTAATGTGCTGTATGTGTAATGTGCTGTATGTGTCCGTCTGTCTGTCTGTCTGTCCCTCTGTCCGTCCGTCTATGTGTGTGTGTGTGTGTGTGCGCGCGTGCGCGTGCGTGCGTGCGTGTGTGCGTGTGTGTGTGTGCGTGTGTGTGTGTGTGTGTGTGTGTGTGTGTGTGTGTGTGTGTGTGTGTGCGTGCGTGTTTGTGTGTTTGATATGTACTGTACAGGTGCGTAGTGACATGACAGTGCAGCCAATGCCAGCAGAGATGGACACTCAGGCACCTGTGGAAAGGTCAGTGTGTGCAATACTAGCACTGTAAAGTCCGCTGCAAACGCCCACCCCGTTTTTGCAAGGTCTGCTGGCCTGTACGCAATAGAAAGTGCATCTCACACCATAGGGCGAAGAGCACTTTGCTACGGTAAACTATGTCCACTTTCCTGGTTTCAAAATCTCTTTGGGCACTAGCTACGACCTAGCTCGTAGAGATTTTATGATGCTGGTTGTTTTATTTAGCAAATCCAAGCGGGAGTTTCTTCCGAATAACAAAGTAGCGAAGAACAGAGTATTGCAGGAACCAATACACTTCTGACGGTGTTTCAAGCCATCATTTCCAAATCACGCAGCCGGCAAAGGCAAGGGTTTTTCTCGAGCACTTCAGAGTTTTCAATAAGTTAGCAGCGACTTTGTAGGTGTAGCTTCTGTGACATCCCCCCTGTTCGACTTGCAACTGCAATACTGCGACCGATCAAGTTGTTGAATGACACTTCGTCAGAACAATAACTGTTCTGGTCTGAAAGCACGACATCGTGGTAGGTAGGTAGGTACGTTTTTATTTGAATTCGCAGAACCAAACGGGCGGTGTCGCCCAATTACATGGAAGCGGATGGAAACAAAAAATTATTGTAGAAAATAGCCTAACATGATAGCAGGGTGTAGTACAAAGCAAAGAACGCTCAGTCAATGAATAATGTCAGAACAAAACCCAGCACGCGACTGGTACTGTGGAGTACCGCAAACGTTCAAAGGTACCTGTAGTGTTCAGTAGGGGGTGCTACTGCTAGCAAGACAGAACGGGAGGCAGGCTTGTTTGAACTGGTGGTACTGGGTAATATACCACGCACATCGGATGGCAGGGTGTTCCATAAAATGGACCCGCGAGCGGTTGGACGGTCGTGGCCGGCTTTGGAGGCAGATTTGGGCAATCGAAGGCCCAAGCTGCGTTGCGCGCGTTGTGCGAGTACTGGGACGCTTCAGAAGGGCTTGCAGCGCATTGCTTGCCCGACCATTCGAGCAACGCCAGATCGTAACAAGGGTCTTTTGCGTGTGGAGCTCTTCGATGCCATACAGCTGCAGACGAGCAAGCAGAGGTTGGGCGCTTGTGCGAGGTGGCAGGCCGAATACGGCGCGTGCCGCACGGTTTTGCTGCACCTGAAGGCGGGACCTCTCGAAGGCAACCAGAGAATGCCTTGTACCCGTAGAGCAAATCTGGCATCACAACAGGTTTCACGTACTGTTCCCTGGACCTTCTTGTAAGGCAACGGCAGGCTCTCCAGAGTGCTCCCACCTTCTGCGAGACCTTCTTTACAGCATTGGTAACGTTTTTGTCAAATCGAACGTGCTCGTCTATCGTGATGCCCAGGTACTTCGCATGGGGGACTACTGGTAGAAAGTTTCCACGGCATTTGACAGTGATGTCTTGACCGGAAATTCGCAGGACATGGCTTTTGCTAGAGTTCAGGATTATATTCCGTTCCTGGAGGTGGTTAGCAATCTCGGTTGTAGACTTTGTGAGAACTCGCGATACTTCATGGCAATCAGGGTGGCTGAACGTGAGAGCAATATCGTCAGCAAACTGCACTGAGAGGGACGGGCTGGCAATGGTAGGCTCATGCCTCGTGTAAATGTTGAAAAGCACGGGTCCGAGAGCGGAACCCTGCGGGACGCCACCTGAGCATAACCCACGGACACCAGTGGATCCAGCAATTTGCACTTGTTGGGTGCGTCCTTCGAGGTAGTCTGCAAACCATTGGAGTGCAGTGCCATGAAGTGGCACTGTAGAAATTTCATGATTTGAAAACCAGATGGATTCTACTGCATTACCACATGGAGAACGAACTACAATAACAAAGACGAGTCATGTATCGAATGAAAGGAAATCTCGGCAGAATTTTCTTTGCAGCAAGATGATGACAATCGCTTTTGCAGAGCCTCCTGGTAAGACATAGGCAGTTTGTACAAGTAGGCATTAGAGTCGTTCTCGTACGCATTCGATCTTCATGCCAGTTTTCTACTTGTACAACTACTAGTATATTAGGAATGGGTCGCAACCTCTATTTCCTACTAGTATATTAGGAATGGGTCACAACCTCTATTTCCTACTAGTATATTAGGAATGGGTCACAACCTCTATTTCCTACTAGTATATTAGAAATGGGTCGCAACCTCTATTTCCTACTAGTATATTAGGAATGGGTCGCAACCTCTATTTCCTACTAGTATATTAGGAATGGGTCGCAACCTCTATTTCCTACTAGTATATTAGGAATGGGTCGCAACCTCTATTTCCTACTAGTATATTAGAAATGGGTCGCAACCTCTATTTCCTACTAGTATATTAGGAATGGGTCGCAACCTCTATTTCCTACTAGTATATTAGGAATGGGTCGCAACCTCTATTTCCTACTAGTATATTAGGAATGGGTCACAACCTCTATTTCCTACTAGTATATTAGGAATGGGTCGCAACCTCTATTTCCTACTAGTATATTAGGAATGGGTCGCAACCTCTATTTCCTACTAGTATATTAGAAATGGGTCGCAACCTCTATTTCCTACTAGTATATTAGAAATGGGTCGCAACCTCTATTTCCTACTAGTATATTAGGAATGGGTCGCAACCTCTATTTCCTACTAGTATATTAGGAATGGGTCGCAACCTCTATTTCCTACTAGTATATTAGGAATGGGTCACAACCTCTATTTCCTACTAGTATATTAGGAATGGGTCGCAACCTCTATTTCCTACTAGTATATTAGGAATGGGTCGCAACCTCTATTTCCTACTAGTATATTAGGAATGGGTCGCAACCTCTATTTCCTACTAGTATATTGACCTGAAAAAAGACGAAAATAGTATGGACCCGCTGGGCCCGGTGGGCGTTTGCTGCGAAGTGGGCGTTTGCAGCGGACTTTACGGTATATCTCCAGACTGTCGGTGTGGTGCCATGGCTATACTTGGGCATTAGAATGGTGTTTTAGTTTGTGCATTTGGGTGGCGTCATGCCTTTTGTAGCTTGCAATCTCCCTCAAACTTTCTGTGCGAGTGTGTGTGTGTGTGTGTGTGTGTGTGTGTGTGCACGTCTTTCTTCTCTTTCTCATTCTCCTTGCTCTTCTTTCATTCTCCTGGGTGGTTACCAACAGCCAGTGTATGCCGGAGTATGTGGTGTGGTGTGTGCGTGTCGAAAAAAGAATGAAAAAGAATGGAAAAATGAAAAATAGGGATTCACTGGCCAGAAAAAAGTCACTTCAATCAGCTGTGTGGTGGATACCAGGCTAAAATTAGTGGCGGTCAATTCATCAGCCTTGCAACCTGTTGAATGGTGTAATCCCAGCACAAGTTGCTATGTCTACCATAGCTGTTCGCTATCATCGCTTCCGCGATGGGCATGTCTGAGTCTGAGTGCGTGCACACCAACACAGGTGTTCATGTATGCATATAGGTCATGGGGCCAGGCGAACGCCACTTCAAGACCTGTGTGTTGCAGACCAGGTCATGCATGCAGTCGTGGTGGTCAGTTCCTGCAAGCTGTTGAACGCCGGCGCCATCTTAGAGCAGGTTGCTTTGCCGAGCCTGGTTTGCAATCATTGCGTGCTGATGTGAGTGTCTGCTATCTAAGGCTAAGGCGTGTACGAGTGTGCACCTGTGTTTGTTTGCTATCTAGTAGTCGCCAATCTGCCCCGGCCCAGGCTGCTGCCCCGGCCCAGCCTGCCGCACCCAGCCAACAAGCGAGCTTGGAATTCAAAACCAAGTTAGGTATGCCTGAGTAAAGGAAAACAAGGAGATGATGTCTTGTCCGGATTGTCACACATTCACACACGCACGCACACATGCATGCATGCAATACAATAATACATGCTCCCGCATTCATGTTGTTGTTGTTGTTGTTGTTGTTGTTGTTGTTGTTGTTGTTGTTGTTGTTGTTGTTGTTGTTGTTGTTGTTGTTGTTGTTGTTGTTGTTGTTGTTGTTGTTGTTTGAATTCTTTATTCTCACGATGGCACCATCGCCAATAAGAGAAGTTGTTGTTGTTGTTGTTGTTGTTGTTGTTTATCACAGCTGTACAAAACGTACACTTTCTGAGCCCCCCCCCCCAAATTATGTAATAGAAAAAAACCCCGTAAAGATGAGCCATGTACGATAATCGTTGGTTATTGTCAAATTGTGTTTGTTCAGGTTGTTTGGTGTAGGATGTGAGTCTGTTGAAAAAGATCACCCTGTGTGTCAGCTTCTTAGTAGTTCAGCACACTATGCAGTTGTCGGGAGAGGTCATTGGATAGACTTGAACTGTAGGTGCATATCTGTACTTCTCATGAACCAACACAGTGCTGTGTGTGTGTGTGTGTGTGCGTGCGTGCGCGCGCACGTGTGTGTGTGTGTGTGCACACGCGCGCGCATGTGTTGATGTACGTCTGTGTACGTTTGTGTATTGTAGGAAAGAATATCCACAAGGCTGTCTTTCAACGTGCGCTGCCCGCCAAGAACGAGCTATTCCTACCCGGCAGAATGGTATGTCCTCACAATGGCTATGGGGCATCAGAACTTGTTTTGGAGTTGTCCTGGCAATGATCCTGAAGGCTTCATTTGACATGATGCCTGTGTAGTGTATATGTAGGACTATGTGACTAATCAGGGCCCTGCAGCCAGTTATACAGCCACAAATGCCCCATGGTCAGTCACAAATCCAGCAACCAGTCGCAGGTTCCACTGATGATACATGTACTTCATTCAGCTGAATGGAACAGATTCGAAACATCTTCAACACGTTTTACATGTACTTCAGCCCTGGCCAAGGGAATCTTTTGCAGAAAAGTATATCACTCTCGGAGCTGAACAGTGTACTTCCACTTGCCACTCTGTATGGCTTGAATGAAGTGCAAGGAATGATGGGGACTGTCCCTACCAAGTGGTCATGTGACAAGTCACACATGTGATTGATTACCTTCCGTTTGTTTGTGTGTGTGTGTGTTTTTCAGTGCTACGCTGTTCAGCTTGACGATGAGTACACAGAGAATGACGTACCCACCACCATCATTCGCAGCAAGGCAGATTGCCCAAACGTCCAGGTTAGTGACAATAAGAAAGAAAACCCTACTTTGCTGGAAAGGCAGAGGAATTGCATACAGAACCCGTGTCTAGCTGTGTTTTGATGCTCTATTACTAGTATCATCCGTAAACTGTCGTCGTGCTCATCTATTTACACTGATTTGTGTGTAACGTTGCATGAATACAATGACTTTGGTTCGTGATGCTCGCTGTCCACACTTTCTCGAAGTAGGACCATAAATAATATAAATAAAAACTGTGTAAGCTGTCAGTGTGCTGTTTGGATAAGCGACATGCCGGGTGACTGAACGCTGGATAAGCGACATGCCGGGTGACTGAACGCTGGATAAGCGACATGCCGGGTGAACGCTGGATAAGCGACATGCCGGGTGACTGAACGCTGGATAAGTGACATGCCGGGTGACTGAACGCTGGATAAGCGACATGCCGGATGACTGAACGCTGGATAAGCGACATGCCGGGTGACTGAACGCTGGATAAGCGACATGCCGGGTGACTGAACGCTGGATAAGCGACATGCCGGGTGACTGAACGCTGGATAAGCGACATGCCGGGTGACTGAACGCTGGATAAGCGACATGCCGGGTGACTGAACGCTGGATAAGCGACATGCCGGGTGACTGAACGCTGGATAAGCGACATGCCGGGTGACTGAACGCTGGATAAGCGACATGCCGGGTGACTGAACGCTGGATAAGCGACATGCCGGGTGACTGAACGCTGGATAAGCGACATGCAACTGTACTCGAAGGCAGGGGAGTTTAATGTATCACAGCTTTAGAACGGATGCTGCTGCTTCTTCCAATGTTTGTGTTGCTGTGACAGTGCTGCCGTCACTGCTGTTGTTATTACGCCATCAGGTTTTCTGTTGGGTGTGTGTACGTTATGTGCTTGTGTACAGTTATGCACATTGTACATGCTTATTGTATGTGCACATTGTATTCGTGGATGCACACATCCGACTCTCCGTTTTCCTCATGTGTCTTGTACTCCAGTCTACCGTCATGACGACTAACGATATTGTCATTCACAAGCTGACACAGGTCCTGTCTTACCTACGTGGCTCTCGACATGACAGGAAGAAGATGAAGCGCAAAGACAAAGGTAAGAAGGCAGAGTAGACCGACAGAGAGAGAGACAGACAGACAGACAGACAGACAGACAGACAGACAGACAGACAGACAGACAGACAGACAGACAGACAGACAGACAGGCAGGCATGCAGGCAGGCAGACAGACAGAGAGAGACAGAGACAGAGAGTGGCAGAGAGGAATGCAATAATAGTGGTCCTTTACACCTTCTTTTCACCGAGTTTCAGCCACAACAGATACCGTAAAAGCCCGTAATAAGGCTCTGGGCGGAAACGTTAGTGAAGGTCCAGAACACGGGCGTCTATTTGGGCCTGGGCGCTAATGTGGGCCCGGGCGTTATTTCGGATAAGTGAAATCAGACTGATTTTCACATCATGCCGTACTGCTGCATGTACGAATCAGGTTAACACAGTGCACTGTACACTAGTTATACTGCAGTACCGTACATACACATGGAGCTGTGCATGCACTGCACTGTGTGCTGTACACTACACTGCAGTACCGTACATACACATGGAGCTGTGCATGCACTGCACTGTGTACTGTACACTACACTGCAGTACCGTACATACACATGGAGCTGTGCATGCACTGCACTGTGTACTGTACACTACACTGCAGTACCGTACATACACATGGAGCTGTGCATGCACTGCACTGTGTACTGTACACTACACTGCAGTACCGTACATACACATGGAGCTGTGCATGCACTGCACTGTGTACTGTACACTACACTGCAGTACCGTACATACACATGGAGCTGTGCATGCACTGCACTGTGTACTGTACACTACACTGCAGTACCGTACATACACATGGAGCTGTGCATGCACTGCACTGTGCAATGAACCTGTGCTTTCGCCCATGGTAGTTTACACGGAGCTGGGCTAGAAAACGGGACAAGAGTATTGACACTGGGCACCTGGGCGTGTACACTGGTAGTGGATGTTATACTGGGTGGGCGACAATACGGGCTTTTACGGTATCTGTTTGCACCGTTTAATCATTTTAATGTCTTGTACGGCTGCTGTTGCCTATTTGATGGAGTTTGAGTGTTGCAATGTCCTCTGTTTATGTGTGTTATTTGTGCAGGTGGTGAAGACAGACCTATGGGAAAGCTACCAGGTGCTAGTGATCCGTACGTGCTTGTAACCGGACTTTTGTTGCCATGCACACTATCCATGCCCACCAGAGTGCCCCGTCACTTCAACCCCTTCCGTGGTGTGATAGTAGTTTGGGGCAAATGAGAGATCACTCTAGGGTGGTGTACGCCGTGCACCCAGGGCCAGTTTATTTGTACATGTGCAGTGCTGCTCAATGAAATCCAGCCGAGTGAGCGAGCTTTGAGCCCTGCACCAGTGAACACCCCAGTGTCCGCAGGTCTAGTTCTCCACAGCGCTCGGCACGTACAGTATCTCGCGCGCGCGTTTGGATTTCATTGAGTAGAACTGTACTTCAAAAAGAAGTACTCGTACAAGTGATACAATGCAGATGCTATGCCCGGGCTGTTGGGCTTGATCATCAACACTTATTATGGAATGTCAAAAATGAAATATCACATTAGCAAGTGCAGTCCTACTCAATGAAATCCGATCGCATGAGTCCAGTACATGTACACGCTGCCGGACGCTGTGCAGCCCTAGACCTGGCGACACTGGGATGTTCACTGGCGCAAGTCGCCAACTTGACTCCCTCAATCGAATTTCACTGTAGTTTCTGTACAGTAGAGTGAGGTAGGATAATTTGGCAATACAGTTGTGGTCATAACACAGACAAGAATTCAGTTGGAGTACATGTATGTGGGAGAGGCGAGGCGCTCTGGCACGATTTTACAGTATTCATTATTTTATAATTGTCCCGTGTGACCAGTGAAATCAGCGACAAACTTTGGCCTTTGTGGGTGGGGGGGGGGGGGGAACTCCACAGCTCTAGGTGTGACCTCTGCGATAGGAGACAAGTGCTGTTTGGCACAGGACCCTAGCTAGGCATGCGCTCACTGCGTAGAAAGACGCGTATTGTCCCTCCAAGCATGGGCCGCTGTGCCGCCGTATGGGGACGTTGCTAAGGCCAACTGTTGGTGTGTGTTTCCGTTGCTGTTGCTGTTGCTTGCAGGATTTTTGCTGATCTGGACAGTAACTACCAGAGTCTGCCGAGAGACAAGGACAGCGCTGCCAAGCAGGCGCCATCGCTGCCCAAGTTTGGCAACTACTTTGGCTCGGCACAGCAGCAACAGCAGCAACAGTCGGAAGAGGTCAGCCTTTGCATAGTGGTGGTGTGGTCCGTGTGAAGAGCTTGAGAACAAAACGCTGTATATCCATTTCGTGACTTTTCGGGTAAAAGTCGAAATTCCGGTATGATCTTACAGTTTGCACCCCGCCCCTATGGAAATTTGGATTTAGTGTCAGAAGGGGAGATATAGGAGAGCCCATATCACATAATTATAGCGAAGTACAACTAGCTGAGGGCCGAAAGTAGATGTGCGTGCGGTTTGGCAAGCTTATCTGTAATGGCGAGTTCTTCGTTTTCTCTGTGTGTGTGCGTCCGTCCCTGTGCAGCAGTCAAAGAAAGAGCACATGATGGGAGGCCTGTCCAAGGAGCAGCTGGCTGCTGGCTGGGCTGTGGCAGATCTAGCGTATCCTCCTCATGGCATTGTTTTACCATTGTGTTCTTCTAAGACGGTGGGATTTGTCTTGTTCTTGTGTGTTGCCTGTGTACCTATGTGTTCTAGGACATTGTAGCTAATGCCCATAAAAGTGAAAATATCTTTATTCGAACCACAAAAAGTCCGGACCTTATCCTAATGGCACGTATTCATCTAAAATGGCGGACGCCCACGCTGCATATATGGTATGGGCGCACGTGAGCCACGCTGTGGGGACACTTGTTCGATTCCGCATACAAATGTATACAAATGCGTGGAAAAGAAGTTTCTCTAATCGCTGGAACTTGTGAGTTTCTTTCGATATAGACTACTGGTCTTCAAGGTATACAATAGTAGTGACCCAACGAAGTGGAATTCGCGGAATACAACGTTCGAGACGGCTCAACAAGTCAAGAGTAAAGTGCGAATTTATTATGTACGCAAATGAGAAAACCTACTTGTTTCCCCGCAGCGCTAGTCACGTGCGCCTTCATGAATTCAGTGAATACGTGCCATTGTCCAACCACGCACGCACGCACGTACACACATACTCATTGTGACACACGTACACACACACACACACACACACATACACACACACACGCGCGCGCGCGCATGCACGAGTGTCAGTATAGATCCATCCTGAGATAAAGACCAAAGCAATTAATTTTGAAATTCAATCATATGCGATGCAGTGGGTTTTTACTGTACAATTTATAGATCTCCTGATACCCCGTATGGAGCAGGAAGACAGCAAATTACCCATAGTTACATGGATTAAATGTGTGCACGATGTAGTGCGTTCATGGCGTCTGGCATCACTGGGAAGCTCTCTATTGGCCTCCATCAGCAAGCCTTTGTTCCTTGACCCTCCTCTCCACTGGCAGTCGTCTTCAAGAGCCGAGCACAGCAGCAGGTGCTGCACCTACGGCCATGGCGCGGTATGTAGTATGTAACGTTACTTCACGCATGATCTTGTAGTTAAGTATGTGCTCGCCAGTGCGTGCACAAGCTCATTGTCTCAAGCTCATTGGGGTTCTTGTCTTGGCCCGGGCTAATCAAACGTCATTTGAGTAGTGCTTTTCCCAATAACATTGCATCATTCGTGCTGCTGTTTGGCGCTAGTTTGCAACTTTGCATGCAATGAGTGGTGAGCGCCAGTGCATAGTAGTTTTGGCTAAAAGTGTTCACATTTCTCAAGTCAAACCTTTAGTTTACTACACGTTTTGCACTGTTGGGAAATCTTGGCACTGTTGGAAAAAATGTTCATCCTGGCACTTGAGTGCATAAACAGGTAGAGGCTGAATAGATGACTTGCACAAAGATCCGAGCCGCGAGTGAGACGGGGCAAGTGCACCCTGTGCACCCAGGCTACACCCTGTACACGGCGGGCACCCTACACCGTCTGTAGACTAGTGTAGTGTACTTTTTTTGTCAGCATGAATGAACGGTGCACGGCATGTACATGTACATGATCAGTACCGTCACTGTCTTCAGCAGCTCATGAGTCATGCATGTGCACTTGTAGGGTTAGTGGCAGCAGGTATTGTACTACTCCCTGAGTGGAAGTACATGACTGTATTATTATGTGAAGAGAAGCCAGGCGTCCAAACCAACCCAAAATACTCTTGCCTTATTCTTCGGTGAAATAGTTTAAAAAAATGGTCTTACTAAACAACAGTGAGCATAGAAGCAACCTCGATGTACCCAATAATATGGCATCCGGGAACAGCAAGTGTTGCACGAGGATCCCAAGAACACGTCAAGTTCCATGCTACCCGCCGCCATCAAAAGAACGAAGGATAACTGTGCTAGCCTAGTTCATATTCAATGTAACGCCAACGGTACGGGATATAGGAGCCTGTTGGGAAGGCGTGGGTGAGCTGTAAAATCTTGTACGGTTCGCACAGCACAACATACATGCAGCAGTTATTAATAATAATAATCTTTATTTCAGGATTACCCAAAGGTTAACGCCTATCTGGAGGATCTCCTATTATTTTGATTGCGACGGTTAACGTCGACGGACGAGAGTCATAAAGCACAGTCCATGGGGGTTGACGTTTCTGGGCTTCCTTTCCGAAAGGAAAGTTTTATTTCTTCTCAAAAAAAGCAGAATCATGCTGATTATACCAGTCTGTTATGAAGACAAGGAAGCAGCCATGGACTATCTTTTACCTGTCGTTCCTTTAGTATGCTAAAGGAACGACAGGTAAAAGATAAAGCACTTCATCTGAAAACTCAAGGACTATCCATAAATACAGCAAATGATAATCCTAGCCTGGTTATGTCCAACTCCGTCATGTGAGCCATTCGGTGAGTTATCATGGGAAGCATAATGTTCGAAATGCTGGAATTTGAACAGTTGCAGTTGTGTTCGTCGCCACACAATGCCATCGCCAGTTCACATTTGAAATGTAGCCATTTTTACGCTTGTGTCCCTGTACACGGCATGGAAGGCTGAGCAGTTTCAACTCTTCCATCGCTTCCTGATCTGTACTGTAGTGCGGTTGCGTTCCCGTTCCTGACACATCGGTCTCCGCTAACCAGCATCATGAGCACTCCAATGGTTCCCGCCGCTCCTTCCGTATCGTCCCAGCGCGCCCCGTCAAAATGTGAATTACTGTAGGCAACGGAGCCAGTATATGATGAAGGCGAATGCACTGTTTGATGATGCTCCAACAAATCCTTTCTAAGACTGAGACCCAGCCGGAGCCGCATCGTCGTCATTACCAGCTAATCATGGGGGGATAATGTGACTTTCCACCACTCCCTGATTCAATCATAGTTTGCGAGCCTGCGCCAAACTGCTTTCTCACTAGAGCCAGGCATTGGATACATAATGGCTTCAGTAAGGTTTACAATGCTATGTCTCTGGCCTAAGTCCAAGTCTAGATACAGCTGCTCAGAGTCAGGGCTGATGAAGTGTTCATATCGGAACAAGTGAGACTTCAACAGTAGCTAGTACACATCAGGCCTGAGGACTTCGCAGCGTTTCTCCAGCACACTTGTTCTCTCCTTCAACTCAGATACTACTTGAAGTACTACTAAAGGCCATCTGGCTCTCACACTCAGTCCTTCCACCCCTCATGTTCGTGGTTTGGGCTTTTACTCTTGACTCGGCAGGTTCCTGGCCTCTCCGCAGTCTGTCCTCAGGAGACTAGGGTAGCTCTGGAGCTAGTGCAGCCGAATCGAAGGGAACCGAGTTCTTTCTCAGACGTCCACAAACTTTCGTTGTGCTTGACTTCGCTTCCACTGCGGGAAAGTAGTCACACTTCAGGACCACGACGTGCTTGTTGCAGCCTACACCAATGATACTAAAATAATATTCCCTCATTTTTCTGCCTCCCGGCCGGCCGGCTCGAAAAGGAACGTATGGAATGGGAGCCTCAGTTCCATCTCTCGTCTGCTAGTGCATTCAGGAGCGTAGCAGCGCTTCGGCATGACGATACAAGCCGAATCAAAACAACTCTACTCTCTAGCCAAAAAAACTAGCACAGTGTTCGTCAGGCAAAAAGCGAAACTTCGAAAGTCACGAACTCAAAAGGTGGGGAAGTCAGAGTCAGAAGGTCCACTTGCCCCGTCTCGAACCCAGACAATCTTTGTGCAAGTCATCTATTGTAATGGGTTTTTTGGCTGTTTCTGGAAATTGAGGGAAACTATTTGTTTAAGGTTTTGCATCAACAGTGCTGTACACTTCGTATTATGCTTGCAGACCTGAGCAACCTGCAGCACCGGGCGCAGCTGTGGGCACAGCAGCAGCAGCCGCCGCACCCGAGAGTGCCGAAGCAGCGCAGGCCGCCAGTCTCAAGCGCACCATGCAGAAGGAGGCCATCAGCGACAGCTACATGGAATGCTACCCGGGGTAGGTGTGTGCTGTGCGAGTGCATGCGTGCGTGTACCAGCGTGTG